AAAAAAAAAAAAAAAAAAAAAAAAAAAAAAAAAAAGAACAGGAAGCTACTGCACAGAGACACCCTCCTCATCAAAGCCTTGCTCTCCAGATTCAGGGCAGCCCCAGTCAGAGGTGCCACCATCATGCACACCCAGCATGATGGCATATTCCTTCCAACACTATGACCTCTGCTACACGGACACGCTTCTAGGCAATTTAAGGTTTTATTTTAGGGCTTTCAATGTTTGTTTCTGAAATAAAAACAGACTTACTGGGTGTGTATTAATTTTGTAAAAATGAGATATAAACCCGCCTGTATAAAATTCTAGTGCCAGCAAGAAGATGTAAAGTTGTCAGGTGTGGTAGCACACACCTGTGATTCCAGCACTCAAGAGGCTGAGGTAGGAAGATCATCAGCTTGGGCTACAAAGGGAGCTCAAAGCTAGTCTGAACTACATAACATGAGCCAGTCTTAAAAAAAAGAAAAGAAAGAAGAAAAAAGGGCCAGGGACGTAGCTCAGTGGCACAGTGCCTGCCTGACAAGTGCAAGCGCCTAAGTTCAATTCCCAGTACCAAAAAGAAAGAAAAGAAAAAAAGATGTAAAGTAAAAGCTACTCCAGCCCCTTCCTCCAAGAACAGGAGCTCTTCCAGTGAACTGTCCTGCAGAGAGACCCAGCACTCCTGTTTTCTCTGGAGAAGCCTATGGGTTGATTTTTGTGTAGGATCCTTAATGTCACCTTTGGACTACTCAAATAAATAAATAAAAATCAAATTTAAAATTTAAAACAATTTTTTCAAGTTTCAGAATCTTTAAGGGGACAATAATCCTAGAGCTCTCATAAACAGATAGATGCAAACATCACACAGATCCCTACTCCACACGGACCAACTTGAGAGCAAGAGCAGACTCTTTTCTTAACATGTGGCTGATGGTGTTTCCACAACCAGCCACACACAGACATCATGTCCTGCTCACACCCTAGAGTGCTGATGAAAGGAAGGGGGTCATCATCACCTCTTTTTTACTTTTCTCCTTTAGATACTGGTGGCTGAATACTAGGCAAGTGCTCTACCACTGAGGGACACCTCCCTGCCTTACCAGGGACCCTTGATCCCTTCAGAGTCTGCAACAGATATAGCAAGGGACTTAACCAAAGCCACACAGTAAACCAAGGACAGCCCATACTTCCGTGACAGCAACCTTGAAAGGTGCTCACTAACTTATCTTCGAGCCATAAAGTGGATCACATATGTCCTTTCAACATATACTTCCCTGCTGTCAAACTAAAAGAAACAGTTGGCTAAGAAATGTTCTCAAATGTAATTAGCTAATGGCTATCACATCCAACACCCCTAGAGCAAGCAAAGGGGAGGCACGAGATCACAGGTCCACACGTGGAGACATACACAGTGTGGGCACATTCGGATTGCTCTACTGCATGTAAACAACTTTCAGAACTCTCTAAGCCAGGCGTGGTGGCATAGGCCTGTAATCCCAGCACTAGGGAGGCTGAGGCAGGAGGATTGCTGTGAGTTGAGACCAGCCTGGGTTACATAGTGAGTTCCAGGGTTCCAGGTCAGTGTCAATTACATAGTGAGACCCTGTCTCAAAAACCAAAAAAAAAAGAAAAGAAAAAGAGAAAGAACTCTCATATTCAGGATGTTCCTATTTTTGTAAAAAGAAAGAGCTAAACATACATGTAAAAATAGAGATGGAAAATAAAGATCTAATTATCAAAATATGTGCTCACTTTGGCAGCACATATACTAAATATTAAAATATTAGTCAGGTGTGGTGGTACACACCTGTAATTCCATCACTTGGGAGGCTGAGGCAGGAGGATCACCATGAGTTCAAGGCCAGCCTACACTACAAAGTGAGAAGACCTCATCTGAAAAAACAAATAAATAAATAAATATTAAAATTTTTTAAAATTTTTTCGGTACCAGGGATTGAACTCAGGATCTTGTGCTTGCCAGACACCACTGAGCTATATCCCCAGCCCTACAAAATATTAAAATATTAACAGTAGCTCCAGATTGTAAGATTTATCTTTGGGTTTTATTTCCTTTGTACACCTATCTGTATTCCTTTGTATACCTATCTGTATTTCCTAAATTGTCTACATAAATATGTATTACAAAATAAAAATAAAATATATTGAGTTAATCTATTTAGATTTATTTTATAGTATAGAAAAATAAAGATGCTAAATTCTAGAGGGTCTACCACTCTTTCCAGCATTGTAGAAGCAGAAAGAAGTGCTGGGTGTGGTGGTGCATGCCTGTAATTCCAGCACTCAGGAGGCTGAGGCAGGAAGACTACCATGAGTTCGAGGTCAGCCTGGACTACAAAGGGAGTTCAAGACCACACCTGGTGAGACCCTGACTCAAA